AGGTTATATCTTTTCATGAAGAGTTGTAACCTTCTATAATTTTTCAGAAAATAGGCTCTGGTAATCAATTACAAGACTTGGTAATCGATTACAACGGTTAAAGTTCAAAATGATTGAAACGTTGTATAATTTAAATTCAAATTTTGAAGTTTTATCTTCTGGTAATCGATTACAAGGGTCTGGTAATCGATTACCAGAACACAATTTGAATTCAGAATTTGAACTTTGAAGTTTGTTGTTCTAGTAATGGATTACAAGGTCTGGTAATGGATTACCAGAACATATTTTTTTATTGTTTCAAAAATATTTATGTAGAAAACTTCATCTCAATAATTTCTTTCAGAAATCTATTTTAAGAAATGATTTGAACTATTCTTTAAAGCTTTTGTTAAGTCTTTTGAAAACATTTTTACTTACTTTCAAAAGATTTAAAACTTGTTTAAATTTAAAGAGATTAATTTGAGATTTTTGAAAACTTATTCTCAAGGCCAAACATACTTGCAATTCTAAAAAATTCTTTTACATTCTTAGCTAAGTTGATAAGACTTATCTATGTAACAATTGAGATCTTGTTCTTGCATCAACTTGCTTTAGCTCAACCTTGATTCTTCTTCAATGCTTTATAATCACTTTGGCATCATCAAAGCATTTGTGCATATTTTCTTCCACAACATCAAACAATATATAGGCATACAAGTGCACTAGGAGATACTTCAAATTTGGCCAAAATTTTCAAGGCAAAGATGTGCAAAGAATGTAATCACACATGATATTTTACGAATGTAGAACATGCTAGAACTATTTGGCATGCATGATTGACTTTTCTAAAGCACATATAAGTCACAGCCAATTCATCAAACATATGGCATGCATGTCATATTTTTCTCATTTCAATGGTTAAGCATAAAAACTTGGAATTTTTTTTCAAGGTAGTTCAAAGAGACAAGCTCATGACAAAACCGGATGGATTAAAAAAATAAAAACATTGATGTATAACATGCAGCCCAAAATTTCCAGCAACTCAAAAATTTAAAGAAAAAGGCAAGAACCTAAATAAGAAAGCCTAAAATGACAAGATGATTCACAAAGAACATATGGTATGAATCAATACATGAGAAAAGATTTATGGATCATCAAAATATGGCAATTATGATGATTCATTTAGGCACACTTAGAAGACATGTAAGGAAGACATGACATGACCGAATTTATGAAAGACCAAAAACATTACCCTTGAAGAACCTTTGGCTTTGATACCACTTGATGGCATCCTAGCTTGCATGAACTTGAGATGATGAACAAGAGAGAGGACACGTACTCCAAGGATCAAGTCCTTCAAGGTTGATGCGTGATTTAGAGAAGGAATGAGGTGGAATGGACGAAAATGGAGAGTATGGGTGAAGTGTTTGATGTAAGGTTTGAGAGGGCACTCTAGGATTTGGCTCACTTCAAAGTAGATGAAGGCCACTTCTAGGGTTTAGCTCTCAAGGTGGAGATAGGATGGTGGTGGCCGAATTTAGCCTAGGGTGACTAAAGATGATATAAAGGCAAAAATGCTCTCTTTATATTCAATATCCAAAGTATTTACATGATGCATAGCCTAGGGTATTTATAGGAGTGGGAGGCATCTAGGGTCACATTTGGAGAGTGCATGGCCGAAATTCACAAGCCAAATGCACACCAAATTAAATCCAAATTAACCCTAGATGAAACTTGGTGGTCAAGGATGGAATCTTTGGGTTTAGCTAGGCTACATCTAGGTGCATGATAAGACCATGCAACCTTTGCCCTCTACTTGGGCCTAAGCCTTTCTAACACCAAAAAATAGGTCCAATAGCCACAAAAATATGTCTAGCTTTTATCCCACCCTAATCAAATACCTTAGCCCAAAAATAAAATCCTATGATCTAAAACATCCCATAATACAAGGGTAAAATGGGACATACAAAAGAAAATAAATCCTATGACTAAGATACCCTAAAATACAAGGGTAAAATGAGAAATACAAGTAAAATAAATTCTAAGACTAAAATACCCCAAGATACAAGGGTAAAATAGGAAATCAAAGACAAGGGAAAAATAGGAATAAAAATAAATGATATGTTAATAAAAACTTAGGAGCTAAGGTCCAAAAGTGGCCTCACTCCTCCTATATTTTTTCAAGACTAACCCATTCCTTTTGCTTCCTTCAATACATCACCTCTTGGACTTCTTGGCCTTAGTGTTATTCCATCAGAAAGTTATGGGGGTAGTGATCTAGATCTTTCATCGTGTGTTGCGGCAACATTGTTGAGAATCCTGAGGTGTCTTTTGTGCGATGAGTTGGTGGGACCGTTGTTGGAAAAGCCATTGACAATGGCATGTATAGAGGTTGTGTCATCGTCTTTATTGCCTTCTGACGGGTAGGCTGCTTTCCAATAAAGGCTTTGATGTGGAGTTGTGACGCTCAGGGATTGTTACATTGGGGGTGGCCTAGGATGATCGAATGTCATGAGAGTCTTCATTGTCTTGTCAGCGTTCGTTGTTAGGTTTCGAATGGAAACCATGTGTAGTCAGAGGAAAATTTCAAATTTGGGAACACAAGAGACAACGTTGAGCTCTTGGGCAAATTTGGGAATGACAAACATGTCAAGTCACTAAGCATCGAATATTTACTGATAGATGCAACCACCTCATACAATGTTATAGTTGGACGACTCACCCTTAACACCCTAGGCACCATTGTATCCACATCTCACCTAACAATGAAATTCTCGGCTAGTGACGACATTATAATTACGGTTTGAGCCAACCAACACACGGCAAGACGATGCTATGCTAAAAGCCTCAAAATTACACTCGTCAAGAAAGTCACCTTGACCAATGTCAAATGAATGATAGTGTCAAATAATCTCACAATGGGTGCCAAATGTTCTTACCAAAATCTTGCGAGTGATCTAACGATGGGATCACATCCTTGTTACTCCAATATCCACGATAGTGAGAGAACCTATAAAGATAATTCAACACTCTAGTTAGTAGGATGTTTTAGGTTAATAATAAGATTATGCTAGAATGATACATGATATTCTATCTGTATAGGTAACTGATCTTACCTCTAGATTTAGAAATAATATCTCATGATATTTTAGAAGTATATTTCAGTAATTATATGAAGATAAATTTTTGATAAATAAAAGTACTTCGTTAAGTGATATTTTAAAAAATATTTATGTCAAAATATCTTAATAATCAATTAAGAGTTAATGGCCTAAAAATTTATTGTCCTACTTGTATGATGATAGATTAAAAGAGTAGAAAAGGTTTGCTGGACTCGACAGGGCGGTTGATATCAATACTATATGTACCTATGTTTAATGTAGGTAAGTTTGTCCTTTTAATAAGTGTCTGATTTAAAAACGTCATATAGCAAAGCAAACTATAGTCCCCACGCGGCATTGAACTGTTGTTGAAAATAAAAAATAAAAAAATAAAAAAATAAAAACATTACTTAATCCAAAGTGTAATTCTCCAAAGTTGAAATAGCTCCGATTCTCCAAAATTAAAATCATGACCCACACTTCTTTCAAGACTCTTGATTAATTTCTGAGTGGCTGTGGGTCCATGTATTAAACATGTCACGTGAAGTCTCTGCAATTATATCGCTCATACCCTTAATTTCCAATTTTATCGCCCTTTGCCACATAAATTAATATTATAATGATAAAAATTATAATTTTAATAAAAACAACATACTTTACTAACGAAGAACTGCATATTTAAACTAAAATACCACCTGCCATGTACAGTATATGTTAATATTATTTAAGTAAATTATACCTTTTGGATATTTAAAAAAAAAATAGATGTAAATAGATGCTGTAAGATATATAAATTAATGAATTAGAATGATAATTTAAAAAGAAAATCTCCTTCACTCTAACATTCTAGGTTAATCACCCAATAGTTTTTCAATATAACTTATTATTTTCTATCGATTACACTCATTGTGCTAAATTAAAATATAAAATAAAACTAACATTTCTCATTTTTTTTAAAAAATTGGCTAAATTAGTTTTTTTTTCCTCATTTTATTTGATATCTCTATTAAAAGTTCAATTTAAAAGAATGATGTAGTTTGATCATTTATATCATTTCAGAACTAAATAGTTAAATATAACTCAACAAGAAATATTATTTTTTTAATTATAAACAACAAATTATATCTCTTATTTATTGTTAACTCTATTTCATATATATATTTGCTTATAATTAATATTAAATATGATAATTATTTAAAATAAATGATATCTTTAGAATAAAATATAATAGAATTAATTAAAAATAATTATACTAATTTTTTAATATTAATAATTTATCATATATTATTTATAATTAAGATCAGATTAGTATACTGAAACATGTATTAAAAATTTAACATCATTAATTTTAATCGGATAAGATTCTTAAAAAGAACATAACATATTGCATCAATTTTAAAAGTTTGGTCATCGTATTAAATCTTTTAATAATAAAAAGGCGGTAAATTAAATTAATTAAATGAGTTGAGATTTTTTTTTTTTTTGAAAGAGGAGTAAATTGAGATTTGAATTTAGAAAAAACAATGTTAAAGTGATAATTAATAACGATTCTTTTTAATAAAATAAATATATTTTATGTTTTTTATTTGTATTTGTTTAAAGTTTAAACTTCTTTTTTTTTTTTTAAATTAAGTAATTGTTTTTATATTCTTTAATAAATAATTAATATTTATTTTTCAAAATTGTTTTTTTAGTAATAAACCCTAAACCCTAAAAAAAAAAAAAAAAAAACTCCTTAAGTATTTTAATAATAAAGAAAGGGTAAATTAAATTAATCAAATGAATTGAGATTTTTCCTTTTGGAAGAGCAACAAATTGAGAGAAAAATTTAGAAAAAAATTATAAAAAAAATCTGTTCATGTGACAATTAATAGCGATTCTCTGTACTTGTGCAAGTGCATCAGTCGAGCATAATGAACTCAAGTGACAACTGTAAGCACAAAACATGGGTCTAAAAATATCTGCTTCATTACACGCAACGTGCCCAAAGATCAGGCTTCTGGGGTATCTCATAACTTTGTGCTTTTGGTTCTCTATATATAACCAACCTCAGCTTTAAGAGGTGATTTGAGTTGTGAAAAATGGGGTTAGAGGCAGTGTTTGTTTGGTTGTTGGTATCTTGTGTTGTGTGTGTGAAGGGTGTGGAGCCAAAGGCCTCAGGCACTTGTGCATTTCCTGCAATCTACAACTTTGGGGACTCAAACTCAGACACTGGAGGCATATCAGCTTCATTTGTGCCAATTCCTGCTCCTTATGGACAGGGCTTCTTTCATAAGCCTTCAGGAAGGGACTGTGATGGCCGTCTCATTGTAGATTTCATAGGTAATCAACTTTCAGACACCCCTTTTCTCTTACTTTTTCAACTCTTCCATTTTCATATATCAGTTTTTTTAATGCTAGTGCAGAAATTTTGATACCAAATACTCCCTATGGACTAATTAGTTAAGTTCCAATGAAAGTAAAAATACATAAATCCCTAGGTAATAAGAAAATTACTTAATTAATTAATTATCTTGATAATAATTTAATGATAAATAAAACTAGTAAAATTGGTACATTGTAATTTTGTTTTATAAAATTAACTAAATTAACCACTTATATATTATTAAGTGTAAACTTCCTTAAAATAACAACTGAAGGATTACAATTTTCTTTTAGGTGCAATAATGTGTGTGGAAAAATGTAAAAAGTACTTATAATTCTGCTATTTATACTCTACTATGCAGCTGAGAAGCTAAACTTGCCATACTTAAGTGCTTATCTGAATTCCCTGGGAACCAATTACCGGCATGGGGCAAATTTTGCCACGGGGGGTTCAACCATTAGGAGGCAGAATGAAACCATATTTCAGTATGGGATAAGTCCTTTCTCACTTGACATACAGATTGTGCAGTTCAACCAGTTCAAGGAACGCACCAAACAACTCTACCAAGAAGGTAGTGATGCCTAGGAAGCTGTTATAGTTCAACAAACTGAAACCTTGTTATTTATGTTGGTCCTTTGTCATTCATTTGCTTTTTGTTGTTCTTTGTTTGTTGAAAATTTAGCCAAGACCCCACTTGAAAGAAGCAAGCTTCCAGTGCCTGAGGAGTTCTCTAAGGCTCTCTACACATTTGACATTGGTCAAAATGATCTCTCTGTTGGCTTTAGGAAGATGAATTTTGACCAAATTCGAGCATCCATGCCAGACATTGTCAACCAGTTGGCCAATGCAGTCAAAGTAAGTTACCACCTGGCTCACTTGCAAAGTTGCAATAGGTGAATGCTTAGGAGTTAGGAATTCAGTATTGAAACACTGAATACATTATGGGTAACATGTTCATTGGCTTAATAAACTTTTTCATTGTATAAAAAGGAAAAATGATGCATAACTTATTCACTTAAGTTTTATAAAATCCTCCCATTGAACTTCTCTGCAACTTAAGGTTTGTTTGGATAAATTTCTTTAGAAGTACTTATAGAAGAGAAAACTAAGATGGAAAAATAAAATAAGTTTATTCATAAGTTAAAATTAACTTAAAAATAAAATGATTTGTAGAAATTTTCTATTATTAGCTTCTCTAAAATCTTACTTTTAGTTCATCTATAAGTTAGTTTTAGCTTATGGAGAAGCTCATTTTAATTATTTTTTCTATTGTTTTCTTTTAGAAATGTTTCTGGAGAAGTTTATCTGAATAGTCTCTTAAGATACATAAGTTAAATTTTTAATGAATGGAAAAAGCTCAATTCATTTTACTTATTTCCTTTTACCTTCTTATTTTCTTCTTTGTTCATAAGTGCTGATAGTGAAATTGATCAAAACTGGCCCTATTGGAAAAAGTTTCTAAAATAAATCTGATTAATAAACTGTGTTGCAGAATATATATGAACAAGGAGGGAGGTCATTCTGGATACACAACACTAGCCCCTTTGGCTGCATGCCAGTGCAATTATTTTACAAGCACAATATACCAGCTGGCTATCTTGACCAGTATGGATGTGTGAAGGATCAAAATGAGATGGCCCTAGAATTCAACAAGCAGCTTAAGGACCGAATCATCAAACTCAGGACAGAGCTCTCAGAAGCTGCAATTACTTATGTAGATGTCTTTGCTGCCAAGTATGCACTCATCAGTAATACCAAAAATGAAGGTACATTGCTCCTTCTTCACATTATTCAGATGCCGTTCACCTAAAACTAAGCACAGTATTTCATATGATTTTAATATAGATGTTTGCTAAATTAACCAAGCAATCCTCATATTTGTTATTTACATCATATGTATCACTTATCAGTCACTTTAGTCCAATCTTTTTTCATCACTTATTTGGTCCTTACCAAAAGAAATGACATTTTCCAAAGTTAAGGACTAAAGTGATCCACCCTTAAAATATATGGATATTTGAGGATTTTGTGCATTTCTTTTCTTTAAAATCACAATTTGTGGGCTGTGGTAATCACTAGAAAAGTTGGCTATTTGTGGAGAGAATGTAATGAAAAGGGAACATTGGCAATTATTTTTCTGGTGTGGTGGTAATCATTTTAGGCAAATATATTTAACATGCCCATGAACTATTTTTATTTTTGGTTTTCAGGATTTGTGGATCCAATGAAGATCTGTTGTGGGTATCATGTGAATGACACACACATTTGGTGTGGGAATTTAGGGAGTGTAGATGGGAAAGACGTGTTTGGTTCTTCATGTGCAAACCCTTCACAGTACATAAGTTGGGATAGTGTTCATTATGCAGAGGCTGCTAACCATTGGGTTGCTGATCGTATACTCAATGGCTCATACACGGACCCACCAACACCTATCATCCAAGCATGTTATAGGCATTAGGCTTGGTCACAATCATTTCTGATTGGACATTCCTAAAGGAAACTATATCAAAAAATTTCAATTGCATGAGACTCTATTCCTGTACCAGATTAAAACTGCATACTTGCTGCTCCTTGAATGTTCCAATTCACAATATTCTGGAGATAGCCAATTCATTGATCAATTGGTGGATTGCATGCAAGTTGCAACCAACAATTTTAATTTGATAATGCATTCTTGGCCTTAAATCTTTGAAAGCATATCATTTCTCAACATGTCCTTATGGAAAGTTTATATTATGTATTATTACCTACACTCATATATATA